CTATTCCTTTTTATTTTTAATACTGTTTTAAGTGTCTTTGACCAACATTTGAATTTGTTCTCTTTGGACAATGGACTGTTTTACATACTATAAAACAGCTTGGAATTGTCAGTTCAGATAATGACTTGATAAATTTGAAATGGGACTTTTGAAACCAGGAACTGGGAATGTCCACCAGGACAAGATCTCATCCAGATGTACCGTCAGCTTTGCTGGGTTGCTAACCCGTTAGACATAGGCAACTGCTGGCTGTTTTGAATGGCATGGATAGAGGCAAAGTAAAGCATCTAAACGGAGTTTAATCCATCTCGCAAGAGCATGTCATTTGATATCACCCCTGATACCGAGGCTTCGAAGCTTGTATCGAGAATATCAAGTAGCCTACTTCCAGACGGAGCTCCGTATCGAGGCTTGAATCATTGTATTGAAATAAGCATAAATAATTTTATTTTACATGTGTTTACTAATGTGAGTGTATAATGCATCAATGTATCATGTGAGTGTTAATATATCAAGCCTTTTTTAACCATGTAGCGCACATTTTCAAGAGGGACTCCACATTTTGGCGCTGTCACGGTCCTGAATTTTTTCCTGCACCATTTGGATCGACCAGCAGGTGACCCTAGCGTAGCCTACATCCAAAGCCTCGAAAAATGAACCACTTTTCAACACATATGGCTGAAAAGCTTCACGATGCTTCATCTCGCCACCACTACATGTCATAACTCCGAGGTCGTTGAAACACACTTGGTGTATTCAGAGAAACAAAAACACTGCACCAAGGCAATGCATCCTATAACCGCAAGGACGCGCAGCCGTGGACCACGAAAGCGGAGCGGAGCCCGAACCTGCCAGTCGCACATCACTGGTGCTATCCATCAAGGTCTTTGCTTTGTACTTTGATCGAAAATCTTTGTTTCTAGGGACTTGGATGGGAAAAGAAACTGGGCAATATCGCATTTGATGGATAATTTTTTATATTATATTGATTTATGTGATAAATGTAATCTCCAATGCTCAGTTAGAGAATACAACAAAGTAAGGCCATCCCAGTACCCCGGCTGCAAACAACGATCCACCAGTTTGTATTGAACTCTAGCAGAAATGAGATCACTCTGTATTGAAGGTACAAATTTAAAGAGCAAAAAGTTTACAAATAAGTTTATTAGAAATATATTATCTAAACTTCCCCAGTCAACTGAAAAGAAAATGTTCAAGAATTCAGTGAATAAGAGGCAAAGAAAATAAGGCAGCAATATTTAGCTTATCCAATCCTTCTTACGGCTAAAGAAGTGACATTTTAAAATCCTAAATGACATTTATACGTCTTCTAACATCCTACTTGAAAAATGTAACTGGGAGAACAGTTTATGTGGGTTCTGTGAGAAAGATATTGAAACTGTAGAACATGTTTTTCCAATGTGAACAAAACAAATATATTTCAAAACAAATATATATCAATACACCCTTTAACTGTGGTCAATTAGACTTTTTGATAAATGGCTTAATTATTTTATGCAACCGTTTATTCATAGATGTAAGTATTTAAAGGTTAAACCCCATTTCAGTGGATGGAAAAATGAACTGAGGATATTTGTGAAGTCTCTTCATTAGGCCTACATGATGGACAGAAACGCCCAGAAACTCTTCTGCTCTAATCTTGTTTTTGTTACCAGAACAAGACCCCCCCCCTTCCTTTTCTTTCTTTCTTTTTTTTTTTTTTTTTTGTTTTTGTTTTTTGTTTCTTGTATTTTATTGTTTTTTTATATTTTGTATGTTGTTTTATTTTTTTCTTCTTTCTAATTGCTGTATCAATACTAACACGGTGTTCGATCATTGAAATATGCCGTTAAGGTTTGTACTTGAATTTTGTTCTTTATTTAAGAAAAAAGTATTTGCTTTGATCTTTCTATTTTTTTCACTTATTTTTATCCAATTGAATTCAAGCGTTCTTATACGACTTGATTTTTATGATAAATAAATCTCTAGAAAAATCTCCTGGCCTATTGCCCTAAACTCTGCAAAAATGACTATAAATCTTCACTGGCAATTTTCTGGGCGTTTTTTCATTGTGAACTATAAACTCTAAAAGACACAATTGAGAACTTGAGTAATGACACGCAATAAAAATATTCTTTTCACAAGTGAGACCTTGCTTATACCTTGATTTTTTTTTTTTTTTTTT